AAATTATTAGGATGGTTATTAAGATACGAATATGGCACAGCTATAATATTGTGATCTTTACGAATAAACCGTAAATACTGTGGAATCTATGCACTGACGTGTTCACTATTGCACTTTAATGAAGCCAATGTGCATATTGGTCAACCGGTGTTTGGTTTTTTTCGACTTTCGCTCGTTTCCTATGTTAAATACTAATTTGATGGTCGATAAACGAGACACAATATTTTATATGCGTGGAGAAGCCGCCGAGTCCATGCATATCAATTAATTTCCCGATGTCCAATAGCACAGCGTATTTCCTCCCAAATAAATTACTCAATTAGTTACTTGGAATATTCAATTTATTTGAAAAAGAACATAAATGTTTTTGATTAATTCTCAAAGGCCTGTAATCTATTACAATTTCGCGTTATGATTTTCATTCAAGAGAATTTAGACGTTAGCAGAGGTAGTTGAATCTTCGCCAGAAGATGTTGTGTCTTCGCCAGAAGATGTTGTGTCTTCACCAGCTGGTGTTGTCGGTGGACCTCCTGGTACAGATTTACATTTTTGATACGTTATTAATATGTTATTGCCCGACATATTTATTATTATTTTATTAAGTATGGTTAATAATATGTGATTGCCCGTAAATCTTTACCTGGTGGGCCTGGTGGGCCTAGTGGGCCTTGGCCTGAGCCTTGGCCTGGGCCTGGTGGGCCTTGGCCTGGTGGGCCTTGGCCTGGGCCTGGGCCTTTGCCTGGGCCTGGTGGGCCTTGGCCTGGGCCTTTGCCTGGGCCAGGTGGCGGTGGTGGGCCTTGTGGCAAAGCGCTAATAAAAGCAGCGAAAACAACGAGAAGAGCAACAAAGATTGCGAATTTCATCTTGAACTAAATTTATTGAACTTAATTGATTGCACAACAAATTTCGAATGATTACCCAATGGATTCGACGGTCTTTTATATTCCTCGGTCACCAGAAGTAAAATAGTGTACGTGCGTCAATCGCTTATCGCTCGAATAGTTTCCAATATTTATTTTGCAAACACCGGACATCTTCAAAGGAAAAAATTGAAAATAGACTTTGAATAAATATTTTAGTTCAACAATAATTTTTTATAGTAAAGCTTTGGACATGTATCCATTTTCGCTTAAATTGGAACACTTGAATAAATAGATAACAAATTCATGTGAATTAATTATTTTCTACACGTGTCGATCAATTTACAACATTTCCTTTTGATTATCCCATATGGGTTTACATTTTAATTTGGTTCGACGCAATTTGTTCAAAAGCAAGCATGTTTTACTAAAATGGACACTAAATTTAGAACATTTAACAATACAAAACACATATGAACAAACAAACACGCATTGCAATCGAATAAATTCAAACAGAATTTTATTCTACTAATGTTTGCAATGTCTGTTCTGAACGATAAGCAAATCGATAAAATATTAAATTGCATGATATTTTCACGTGTTCAATCTCGGTTCCGAGAATTGATTGGATTGTTGCGCATTTTCTGCGAATTTTGAGACGTAAATAGAGTCAGTGAAAAATATCGTTTTAACTAAAGGTACATAAACGTTATTACAACAGAACAAATGTAACAACATGAATAATTGCAATAAGCAACACTCTTAGAATGGCCACACGTGTTGCGTATTCCAATTATTCAGATGTCAGACGAATGTCTAATTCTGTGTTGAATTCGGATAAATAAATCATTCGAATTATTTTCATCATTTTTAGCACCTTTGTACGTCACCTTTCAGTGCGATATCTCTTTCGAAATTTCTTCAAATCCATTCAGTTGCTACGTTCTCAATTCAAAGGTCGATTACAATGATGCGGATATAAATTGCACTCTATTCAAATTGTCTTGAATTCTGAGCTGAAATAAAGTGGTATTTTCATTGAGCCGTTCGTGTGTGTGTGTGCGATAGACGATTAGCTGAATGGGATCCATCCACCGCGATGGCAATTGTCTTGTTGGTTTTATTTCGAGAATGTGCGTTGTGTCTCCTGGGTTCATCCGTTCATTGTTGATGGTTTCATTTTTACCTGATCGTGACCAGCAATAAGTGTGTTGGTTTTTTTAAACTCCGTATGTTTTGTCCCATTCTTACCATAAGCATTTCGAGTGCTATTTTGACGTTGGTTTTTGTGTGTCACCATGAATTCGTTTGCAACTGTAGCAATCGAAATTGTTGCCACAAAGCTGATGAAGATACAATTTGAAAATAAATTGATCAGTGAGATTCAACAACATTTTTTCTCCATTGAAATGTAGCAAAGACCAAATAAATTTTGGTCTTCAAAAATAATGCCAAAGGAAATAAGTGGTCGCATCAGTATAAATCAAAAACACTAAGTACTCCAATCAACAAAATGTCTTTCAACAAATTGACCCACGCATTCGAGACCAAATCGGATATCAATTAAACGGCAAGAAATATCACGACATACACACACAAAACAGCCAACGAACAATCGAAATTTATTGCTTGCCCAGGGAACCAACTGACCGTTGTTATTATTTTTATTTACAAGAGTTAATACTTCTGTTCTTCTACTGACCGAAATCGGAAATCTTTGTTTGCCCATAAATGAAAGCGGATCATCTTTTCTAAAGAATGGCATTTTCATTTTGAAAAGAAGACGATCACCTCTCAATTGACCGTATTTTAGAGATAGAAATGTTTATTTTTGGCTTTTCAGAGTCAAAAAATAAGGACGTTGTTACTATGGATTTTAATCACCACCCATGGAATGTTGGTCTATTTTTTTTCTGCATGTGTAAGCGTTGCACTCAACGCCGGGTCCAAATATCCTCATTTTCCAGTACGTTCTCGAGGCTAAATTATTTCATTGATATGCATTATTTCGCTACATATGTACATATCTACGTATTTGAACATGACTCGCTGAATGCTTTTGTTTTATTTCGTTTAGCTAACTAACTGATGAAAAGAGTCGACGATGATGGTATTTTAGGCAGAAAATTGTTTTTGAAAATAAATTCGGTCAATAAAGATTATTATATTCTTTATAAAATAATCAGTTTAGCCAGTCAAACATGTCTCAAGATTATTGACTGACTAAGCTAAGTAAGCATGTTCACATTCGGGATTATCAATCTTTTCCTACATTTCCGCTTGTCCAATTTCATTTCAAGTACAAAACCAAAATATGTTTGTCAATTTATTAAATGTATTTGAATGTTCGAAGTGACACGTTCAGTGTGAAGAAGTAATCTTGTTGAGAATGAATCAAATTGATTTACCTGAAAAACCGAAAATTTTCAAAAGCAAGTAGTGTCAGTTTAATATTTTTGATATTAAAATTAGTTAGAATTGTTACTCATATATATTAATTGCTTGAAAGATTCGTTGATTTTTTGATTATGTCATCTGACTGTTTGTTCACGTTATAATTTGAAAAATTTGAAAAATTTCAGAAATGAAATTAATATTTGCTATTGTGGTTTTGTGCTCCCTGTTGTTGTTGGCACAAGGAAAGCCAAGGTTGGATTTCAAATTGAAGATTCCATGTCAAGATAATACCACGAAAGACGAAAACACAGGAGAATGTGAACCAAATTATCCAATACTCAATATTGTGAATGCAGACAATTGATCTGAGCCAATCCATATTTGGAATTTCAGAGATAGGGAAGAAGTATCAAAATTTATGGCTATGTATGCACGCAATAATTCCAACAGAAACTAGCAACAACTAGCACATTTTAGTTTTGCTATTATCCCATGACAAATACCTCTTCCAACGTAATACTACTGTACAATAATTAATTGGTATTGCAAAGAACCGTTTTTAATAAATATTACCATTGAAAAAATGAATTGACATTGAAGCATGGATGTGACAGAAAGAGTTTTTTTTTACAATAAGCAATAATTCTCAATTTTAAATTCCAATTTCTGATTGAATGGATCTGACAGTTCGCAATGGAATCTTCTTAAAATTGAACTTATTCATAAAGCTAATGAGCTTATGATATGATATGATGATATGATATTATATTTATTATTAGCGGAAGCTCTTTTTGTGTGTATTACAATTACAATTACAATTATTTTACGTATAAATTTTCAAACCATTCCAACTCAACCATTCCTTAATCCAATTCACAATATAGTATAATTTTCAATGATGTGTTTTCTGCATTTATCTTTAGAACTTATATCGAGTGAACTTCGATTAATGGTGCAAAATTCTCCGAATACGAGGTTTGATTAGACTTGCATAAACTGTATATAAGTTTTGCATTGAAATCGAGCATAACTCATTCAATTTATCAAGTTTGATTTATAAATAATCAATAGGGAAAATGAATCAAGTGCATTTGAGATCAGCACCTTCCATTGAACTCAGCCAATAAATAACCGGCAAACAGAGAATTTCGTTGAAATTACGTTTTATTCAAATGTCATAATCAATCAAACGGCACGTACAAATATCCGAATGATATAATTATGATTAATATTCCGTGTTTGTATGGAGACGTCGCCGAATCGCATTGAGCTACTTATAAATGAAATGCAATGTGGAATGAAAAAACATGTTGAGCGAGTAAAAGAAATGCGTGTGTGCAAAGAAGACGTTTGCCGCGAATATTATTTCATTCATTATTATGTGTTGTCTCGATAGTTGAATGAAAAGAATTGGCGTCCATTCGTTTTTTTTAGGTAATATCTCTTATACAGCATCATGTATCATAATAACAATATTCCGAATAAAGCGAGAAAAAAAGTTGTGCGCAATACAATAATGTCATTCGCCTTATTTTGACGGTGTGTGTGCGCGCGCGCGTGCTCTTACGAGTTTTGGCTTTCTTTCGACGATATAGCCGTAATTTTATCTCTTCTCATTCTTCGCTCGTTTTTATTTTATTAATCATCGCTTTTGTTTTCGTGCGTAGTTGGCTATTTGTGTAATCATTACTTTTGCTTTCAATTGAACTATTCGTATTGAAATATATGTTGGTCTGTTGTGTGTGTGTTACTTTCTTCATGTAAATCATTCAGCGCGTCCAAAGCTCGGCACTTGATGTTGTTGTTGAACATTTTTTCCCCGTTGAGTTCATTGAAGTGCTTTATGTTTCGATAGAGATATGCTCGATTCACGTTTGTTTCATAAAAATGCGTGTTCGATCGCAACGCAATTCGGTCGCACAAACAAAAAAGGCCAACGATACTTTGCTTTTCCATTGAATTTTTATTTTATTTCTCTCTTTTTGCTTTTGTTGCTGCCTTTTTTCACATTCCTTGCCCTTCATCTGCCTAATCATTGGATCTGTAGAAAAACTCACTTCACCAATCAGTAAAAAGCATTTGTGTGCATTTTAAATGGTGCACGCTACAAACGGCATACAAAATGCGAAAATTACACCGTTTTTACGCGCCTTTGCCCATTCCATTTCATTTGCCTCGTTTGTTCATTCGTTTGCCACGTGGTCGGTGTGCGCTTAATCATGATTAACTGGCATTTTTTATGAATCGCACCGTAAAATTACATGTTTTTGTTATAATTTTCATTTCTTGTACGATTCGAATCGAATCGAATTAATCATGGCTTGACGTTTCATACACAAATTTCGTACGACTTGGACATTTTATCTCATTCAATTACACTTTCGTCGTTTTCGGCTCCTTTTCCCATCCGTGGACGTGAAAAATCAACATTTTCATTAGACTTCTAATATAATGGATCGAATTGTATAAATCGGAAACTGACGAATCGAGCGGAACCGAAACCATAAGCAATATCTCAGATTTTGCGTTCGATGGGTTAAAAGTGGGAAATCGATAAAAATTGTTGGCGAACACGGACCAGGCGTGTGAATGACCCACAAAAATCGACCAACACTTTTTTGCAGCTTATGTTTACTATTGAGAGATGAATTCCATTGGTACATACGCCATAAATTTT